GGTGAGGTGAGGTGAAGCGGAGCGGCCTTCGTCTGCCTCGGCGCCGGTTCCTGCTGTCCTGTTTTGCTCCCCGGGCAGCCCCAGCCCTGAAGGAAGCACTTTGCATCCGAGAGAAGTAAGTGCAGCCAGGGATGACATGCCTTTTTTGGGGGGAGGAGAGGGGTGACAGGGGCAGGGTGGTCTTATCTTCTCGAAGAGGCCCACCCGTTACTTGATCTTCTCTCACCACTCATGGCTTTTGAGTTAGATGGGTCAGGTCACCATCGTTTTCACAACTCAGCTGTTACAAAAAGTCCCAAAAGAAGGAGGCAAGCATGTCAGCTCTTTCCCCTGAGTTTATTGGAGGTAATGTGTTCACTAGGGTAACGTATAAACAGCTTTACATTCCATAAAAAACTTGACGGGTTTTGTCCCTTTGATTCAGGGAAAATCTAACGCGGGGGATGTTTCCTTGTGTACCTGTCTTTCAAACAAACTGTGCGTGTTCCCAGAGACTCTGGATACGGGACCTTCTCTGGAACAGGTTGCCCAGAGAAGCTGTGGCTGCCCCATCCCTGGAGGGGTTCAAGGCCAGGCTGGATGGGGCTTTGAGAAACCTGGTCTGGTGGAGGTGTCCCTGCCCATGGCAGGGGGTTGGAACGAGATGATCTCTAAGATTTCTTTCAACTCTAACCATTCTATGATTCTATGATACAGAGAAAGGCAGTATTAGCAACTTATGTACACCAGTAGTTTTTACTTAGGTTTTCTCTGGCTGCTGTGTTTACTTTTTATTTTTCCCAGAAAAGACTGCCTTTTAAGTAGTATTTTAAAACAGGAAAATGATCCATTTTTTTATCCTTGTGTTTCTCTCAATGGCTTTCTGTTGCTTTGCAACCCCAACTGGGGACATTCCTTTCATATGTTGTTTTGGTAGAGATCAGGCAAAATCTGGTGGAAACTTGTAGGTCACCTTCATTAGAGTAAATTTCGGTAAGGTCTTTTAGGTATAAAATAGCTGAAATGGCAGTAGCCATGTACTGACTTACAGGTACTTGTCGTAACAGACGCACAATTATTGGTCAGAAGTATTTTGTTGTGGACAGAATGCAGGTGCAGAAAAGTGGCAAAGTTTTGGTGGAGATATGTCATCCAGTAAGTAGTGACCCCTAAATAGAGGAATGCTGCTGAAAAGCCACCAAGAAAAAATACTTGCTGCATGACCCGAAGTTTTCCCAAGACAGCGGAGCAAATTCACTTCTCACAGTCGAAAGAGGGAGTTTCTGCTCCCATCTATTCCCTTCTCTCCATGTGGCCTGCTAGGAATTCTGTTCTTCTGTTATCTGTGGTTTTTATCACTGTTGGGTCAACTGTTTTAAATCACTAAAATAGCAGAAAATTGGTTACTAGAATGGTGGAAGAATGATATTCCTCTAGGACTTTTTGAAACCAGGATGTGTATGACAGCAAGTAACATTTAAATATGTGAAAGTACTAGAAAATAAAAGGCTACATGGAAGAATGATAATAAGAGCATGTTGCTTTGTGCTGAGTAGGGAACATATTGGTATTGAGAAAAGATGGTGCAATTTTCCTGCTCTTTTGCTTTTACAGAGGCTAATGTTGCTAGCTGGAAAAAAAAATAAAAAATATATATACATATAGTGATTGTAAATCTGCCAAAGATTATTCACGGTGAAAGACTGACCACCTCTTTTCTTTCCCCCCCCTCCTTCCCCTGACATCTATTCACTCTGGAGTCTTTTTTAAGGTGGCTTTCACTGTCTCATCCTCTTGTAATGGAGGATTTTGCTGTTTGCCTTTGAAAGAGATGTATACAATCAAGATTCACTGAGGATTTATTTACCAGATTGTTACACCTGACAGCTCTGATGATGGTTGTGTGGTATATTTGCTACCTTTACCAGAAGCAATCCCTCCCTCCTTCTGCCTCCTCTCCATTTTATTTCTCTCTCAGGAGCTGCAGTGGAGAAGGTGAAAATGGAAATGCTTGGTCATTGTACTCTCAGGTTAGGCTAAAAAACATCAAGATGGAAACAAAAATGTTGAGAGAAGTCTTTGTCAACTGTACAGTATACTAATACAGTATTTCAATTAAATTATTAATAGAGTTAGCTGTGCAGCGTGATAGGAAGAGGAAATCTAGGAAAAGCCTGTAATGAAAATGAAGCAACCATAGAAAAGGGAAAAAAAAAAAATCAATAAGACATTATTTCCTTTCCTCGTCTGCAAAATAAGTTTCTGTCTGGCAAAATCATCCCGGGAAAATACGTGAACAACCTCTCCATGCAGCCTTTTCTGAAAGGTAACTCTGAACAGGAACTGATGTTAATAATGCCCAGCAAACGTAAAAGCCTCCAGGTACATTAAATATAAGGGCTTCCCCAGCTGTGAAATTGTAAGTTTGAAAGTTACAAGTTTGAAGTATATTTTCTTAGTTACAACTACCATTCTGGTTTGACATTCTCTTATATCCAGTCGCCGTTACACTTGCAGAAGTAGGTGTGACTATACAAGACAAAGATAACGAAGGATCAGGCCCATCAAATGTGATGAGAAATAACATTGTTTCCGCTGTTGATTGTTAGGAACAGTTTTAACTTGAAAACCCATTGCCAATGGCTTAACTACGTGCATAGGTAAGGGCAAAATACGACATCTCCTTGGCAAGATAACATAATTTCCTAATAGAGGCATGATGTGCATCTGTCTGTGAGCTGCCCTGGGGTGATGTCCAAGTGCAGACCCTGAGAGGCAGTCAGTTGTGTAGCTGGGAGCTGGTTCTGCCCAAAGAGGGACCAACAGGGAAAGGCACCTCCTCTGCACAGCCAGTTAACAATCACAGAAAGGGATTCCTGGTTTCTATCATATAATGTACCTTTTTGGTTTCTGATGCGCTTTGATTATCCTGTTCCCCTCTGCCTGTTGTTAACATAGGGCTCCTTGCTGACTGTCTCTCTTAACATAAAAACTTTAGTCTGAGTTACCATTGTGTGAAATCCAAAAAGTAATGGGCCAGCTTCTGTGCATGTATTGTCAGTGGCCAAATACTATAAAATTGGTTGCAAATTTAGAAGGCATTTTTTTTCATAAGCCTGTGAAAATGAATTGTTGTAGTTCAATTACATGTAAAAGATCCATTTTGGGTTGTTAGAGAGATTTTTGCCTTTAGCGATGTTGACCTGGTTGTTGAAATCAAAATCATAAAGGTCACAGTGCTCAATACATACTAGTAGTTCACTGTGCAGAAAGCATCTCTTTGAAAAGGCAGCAACGAAGAAGCAGAATACATAGAAATTCCAACAGGATGTTATGTTGCCTTTGGCTGTAGTTTATTAAAAAGTACAAAACTAAACCTTAAAAAGAAAGACAAGTGAGATTTGTCATTATTTGTTGATCTGAATTTGTGTGTAATTACTATTCAGAAAGCGTTCATGAAGATGGTAATGATTTTTGAAAGTGTCTTTTTGTAGTATTAACAGCTAGTCATCTGAAACTTAATCTTGAAAGTGAATTACTGATTATTTTCTTGTTTACCATGCTCAAGTTATTCCATCAGGAAATGAAAAAAAAAATTGTATGACTTTGCTGAGCGGTTAACAATAGCACAAATTGCAAATGGATAACTTTAACATAGAATTAATATTTCCATCTGTATGCTGAAATTTGTTACTATAAACTTTATGGGTAATAACTTAGGAATAGCAAATATGTCTCAGGAGACTTAATGGGCTGAATCCATAAGAGATATTAGACTATGAGCAGTTTTGTGTATCACATTTCTGTTTTTCATTTGACCGAGTGTAAGTCTTGCTCGTCATCCAAGTATGTTTTTTGCTGGTTGGTAATAGAAGCTCTGCAGACCATGCAGCAATGTACCACTTACTTCTAAATTTATTTTCTACATACTGCACTGTAAATTTTTAAGAATATGCAGGTCTAACTAATTTTATGAAGCAGAGTATTATGGCCTGCTGCAAAGGAGACTAAGACTGATTTGCTTCACAGACAAAATGTTTTATTTCTTTAATCTAAATTTTCTGCAACAGAGCACCTTAAACATATGTTTAAGTACACCCTTAAATTTGCTTGGAATCAATGGATTTAAAATGTGCTTTACATGTCTGGCTGATTATTAAAAAATATGCACTTACTATGCATTTATAGAAGATAACTATGCAGGATCTGATTAGCTGAATGCCCTTACTTTCCGTTGGGAGACCAGGTATATTCCCTCTCAAGGCACATTGAGCTCTTTCAGGGCCACACGGTATATAATTGTTCTTTTGATCTAAGCAGGATTATTTCTTCAAAGAGAGAAACGTCTTAGTTACTATTTTTTTAAATGCAATGCTGTTTATTCAGAAAAA